GCCTCCTTGACTAGAGCCAGTCTTTTTGAAGAGACATTTTGAGAAGGCGACTAGGGTCCGCGCCAGTGAGAGCAAAATATGAATACATTCCAAGACATTGCCAGCCCTCCAAAGGGCTAGGTGTTCTGCTCCTTTGCTTGGGTTTTGCCATTAGCTTCGGTGATCTTCGGTGGGTCCAGGAGAAGCAGGCGCTCTTGAAGGACCTCCCGGAACGTTTCCATGTGAGCGCTTGGGTGCCACAGGCACAGATCATCCAACGACCTGAACTGATGTGTGTGTTGACACATTGCGGCACCATGGCCTGCAATTGAGCTGTGTTCGCTTTCAGATGCTTTGCTCATTGTTTGGTACATTTTAGCGCAGATGAGCTGTGGCGCCCGAAGTCAGTATGCAACCACAAAGGTTGAATGCATCTCCCGAAAGAACAACACATAACAACTATGTGAACAAAGATTAAGTTTTTATGTGTAATGTTATTTGTTTATGATGTTTGAAGATATGAGAAGAACATATGCTAATAGATCGGACATTGTGTTTTTCTTGACCCTTGCTGTGGAAACAACGATTCCATTGTCAGGTGTAAGTAGAAAATTGAGTCCGATCCCCTTCTAAAAAAGATCCATTCCAGCTCTAAAATGGTTTGGCATGAAACATGATTTAGATTCACAGGGTTGTGCTTTAGGGATCTTGGGTATGTAGCGTCCTTGCTCCTAGTAGTGATGCCAGGAGCCCCTAGTAGTGTCCTTGCTCCTAGCGATGCCCTTTGCTCCTAGTAGCATCCAGAATGCAACAGTATCAAAAGTCCGACCCAAAACATCGCCACCGTGGGGCAGAGACTTCTCCCAGGCTGGGGGGGGCACCATGGAGACCATGATGGCGGGCAAGCCGGTGATTTGCTACCCTGGCTTCGGAGATCAGCTCCTGAGCACCATTTCCGGTGTCAAAGACGCCACACAGGGTCTGTCAGGTGAGGGGCGTCCCGGGATGGCCCTGGTTTTTTTCCTGAGAGTCTTAGAACATTTTATGTAATCAAACATGATCAAAAGGCATCTCATTGATGTGTACAATTGTTTTAAAGTGTTTTGGACCACAAACTTGACTTTGTGAGTCCTGCAAAGTCAGCCAGCTCTCGCCAATAGGTCATGTTTGGAATTGCGAAGTGTTTCAGCTCCGTATTCATTTGATGTTGTTTGCATTTCTCCTTTTGAACATGTTTGCACAGAGCACCCCTTGAAATTATCATCCGGGCCAGGTGTGGTGGCTTGTGTGGATTTGATGGTGCCACGCGTTGTTGACAGTTCCAACATCCCAATTGTCCTTTGTTTTGGGTGGTTTGGGGATCTCCAGAGGATCACTAAACTTTGAACCCTGACTCCTTGAGAGTACATCGGGAAATGCGAGGAACATGACGGCATGACCAGCATAAGCCACCGAGCGGAAACCGGTGCCACAGCAGCTCAGCACCTGCAGTCACCTCCAGAAGCTCAGTCCACCTCCGAGGCATGAAAATGCCAAGCTTTTGAACTCCTTGGGCTGTGGCCCAATCCTGACGCCTGGCCGGTCGTCGGTCGCTTGCAGCCAAGGGGCGCCGTTCTTCGTCGCCACGAAAAATGGCGCGATTTGCGCCAGAGGGGGCGAGGAAGATTTGGTTTCCGATAGGAATCCCAAAACAAAAACATCCCAAGCCTTACGCCTTACACTCTTGCCTTCCAGCCCCGCAGGCTGAAAGGTGGAGACAAAGCTAGCTCATTTGAGGGGCTGCTCTAGGTGAGACAACTAACTAGACAGGTGCTGTTGGCCAACTCGTTGTGGATGAATGACCCGTCAGCCCATCAGCTACTCAGTTTGGAGAGTTGCTTTGCCAACGAAGCAGATTTGGGGAAGATGAGAAATCATGTTCCATTGACTGTTGTCATTTTTCTCCTCAGAATTGTTCAATGGTCCACTTGCATTCAGGTGTTTTACTTTTTGATGGGAGATGGGGAAAGTAGCTTCTCATCCTGCTCAGCCCAGGAATCCTTTGAAGTGTACCGCCAAGGATGTTCAGGCCGCGCTTGAGGAGAGGTCCTGACAACATGTGCTTTTCTAATTCAACAGGAGGCAGACCTTCTTTGCTATGTTCAATGTATCCTTTTGCGTCGGTGGTCAAAGACTTCTATTAAATGGTGTTCCTTTCAAGGTGCTTGTAAAAAAGCTGTCATATATATATACATACAGTATCTTATAGGATGTTATATTACTTATATAATGGACTTTTTTGTATGTTCTTAAGACTCGCCTTAAGTGTATTAACGCAGGCGCAACACAGCCTCCCCCAAAAATGACTTCATTGTGTATGCCTTGACAAGTTGATTGCATGCACCAACTCTGACCTTCATTAGGTTTAGTAAGTGATGTGGAAACGAGTTGGGATGGAAGACCGTAGTTGTGTGAGAAGGACACATGCCCATCAGAAGAAAACACATCAAAAATTAACTTAAACATTACAAAGCACAGGTGGGAGAGAAAAGAAAGAACAGGAACAGTTTTCCGCTTCTTGCTTTGCGTGTGTTCCACATCTAGCCTTTCAAGCTTGAAAGTGTTCACTGTTTCACATTTTTTGCATTTTATGTTGTTGTTGTTGTTGTTGTTTGAAACTGGTAGAGCCTAAGAACACAACACAGTGCCCGAAAACACAATGCAACAATCCAAAGCACACAACTCAAAAACTAAGGCAACACAGACACTTGCTAAATGCAACGCGGAACCGGCACGCTATGATGCTCAAATGGTGTTTTCTGGGACGCTCAATTTTTGAAGGTTTGTTCACATGTTTGACATGGCCCCAGTTCAGCTTTCACAGCTTTAGGTCCGCTGACTCCCACTTGATTCCACGCACGCACTGCGCCAAGGCTTCGATGCAGAAGGGCTTCGTGAGTTTACTGCGGAAACGTTCTTTAAACAAACAGTTTGCTAGTAACATTTTTTTGGGTTTCCTTCATGCAAACTATTTTGGGTTTTTGGCCACACATAGTTTTGAGAAGCGTTGTAGGCAGTGTTTGCATCGTTTTAGCAAGTGTGTTCACAAATCAGTACGTCATAGCACGTATATCCCGAATCAGCCCCAAAACATACCCAGGCCCAAACATATCAACGAAACCCAGAAACATAAGTGTTACCAGAGGTCTAGGTAGCTGGACACTGTGTATGAAGTTTTTGGGTAGCGTTGTGCTAACGGAGCAAGCGCAGTTTCAGACCCAAATCCTGACAGGAGGTCATTGCCAACCGGGAGGCGTTTACAAAGAAGGCGCAGGAAGTGGGCAACTGACCTGCTATTTCAGATTATTTCAGAATATTTTCGTGCTGTGGATGATGAATCATTAGATATGTAGGCTTTTGATGTTGATCTGATCAATCAGTGATAATAACGGCAACCCTGTTTTGGTAGAGGCATTCCTGCTCCATCCTTTTTCCGCGACATGAGCAGAAACAGCGCACGGCTCATCCTTTGCGGAATTCACCCAGTGAGGCAAGAGCCTTCGAGAATCCCCTGGACCCGTGAAGACCGTCGAGCTCATTGAGGATGTGGTATCCTCACTGGCAGTAGATGTGGGCATCAGGTTTGTTTTTCCTTTGGGAGCCTGCAACCCTTCCAAAGGGATTTGTGCATTGAAGGGCTACGGCTACGTTCAGACGGGTGGATTTCGGTCGCAGGAAAGTGGACCCTGTGCCTGACCGAGTTGCGTGTGTTGGAGTCCAAGGTTGTTGTTTCACGGAAGTTAGCAACAGAAGACCTCAAGGACACCTGCTCCCGTTTCCAAACAACCTGCAACACTTGGGGGGGGGAAGACTCTAGGGGTGTCCCACAAGGTGGTTGTTTTGATGACAATTTTCCAAAGACCTGCTGAACCCTTCTGGCTCTTGTGGGGGCCGCGAAGGAGTCTTCAGAAGTACGTTGTGTTCCTGGTGCCTTTAAAGAAGTATCACCAGCAAGCCAGCAGTTCCTCCTAGGCAAAGAATGGTTTGGGCTCCTTGGTGGATCAGCCATATCATCTTTCAGAGCCCACGGGCTGCCAGATTAGCTGAGCCTTGTCACAAATTCAGCCAATTGAGTCATGAAGGCGAGCTTGCAAAACCTGTTGGCGAGCTTACTTGGAACTTTGGCAAAACCTGCACCGTGATGCTTTGTCCCAACGGTATCGGCCCCACATCCATGTTGTCCTAAGCTGTAGACACTGGCCGTTCCTTGAACAGGTTTCCTCGGAGGGAGATGGTTTCCTAAGCTGTAGACACTGGCATGAATGGCGCCTGCAAATTGAAAGAACTTTGCACAGCATAGCAAAAATCCTACTGTCCTACAGGGCACTGGGAAGATGAGGGATTTACTTGTTGTTACCCGCTGCTAGTTTTTTGTGAGTGTTGAAGGTGGCATGCCCCTGGAAGACCAGACCCAGTGAAACGTGCAGGTGTTTATTGGTTCATGTCCTTTTGCGAGGACGTGGTGCAAAGTCTGTTGGTAAATTTGAGATGATGAAGTGCTCGTGATGCAGAGGGTCAAAGGGCGTAGTGAGGAGGGGTTAAGCACGTTTCACCTTGGTTTTGCAATGTTCTGCCTGTAAAGAAGCGATCACAGGATCAATTTGTACAGAAGCGCGTGCTTGGATTGCATGGATTGCTCAAGAACAAGGGTGCACAAGGGGTGGACTGGTCTTGAAGGTTAGGTGCTGTATATTCCTCCTGGAGTCGACGCATGAGTGCCTCCACGAAGTGTGTCTTGCGTCATGGTCCTGTGTGTCTTTGTGCTCCATTGATTTCCGGTGCTCCATTGAATTCCATGCGCACAAAGATTGGGTGCACAAGTGCAGAAGGGGCGAGAGTATTTGTTTTAGAGATGTTGGGGTTCTGATATTACAATGAGGGGAGCATTTTAATATGTACTGTAATATGAGTCAATTAATGTATGCACTCGACAGAACCGTTTTTTGTTATTTTGTTAGTGATTCCTTCTTGCGCATGGGCAGGACAACACCCCTGAGTGCTGAAAACTGCACCGATTTGCTGAGTGGAGTTTGGCTCCAACGACGCAGACGAAGACGAAGACCGGACAACGTTTATTGTTTTAGGTTGGATGTGTTTATGTTTACGCAAGGGCGAGTCTCCGGATTTGGGACAGTTGCCAGCGACTCCAATGAACTGAAGCGTTGCCAAGCTGCGGATCGCACTGTGGTCCAGTCCGAAGCCACGGGGAAGCCCCAAAACCGGCCCCACTCCGAGTTGAGCAAGAACACATAAGAACATCATGTATCACCATGTCATGTGCAACCTACCCAGGAGCTATATATCCTGCATTTTCCGGAGACAATTCGGGGAGTCAGCAACGATTTGATGCTCCAGGGGCACCCTGACCGAAGCTTGAGCAGTGGAATTGTCCCCACAGGTTGAGCTCTAACTACCAACTATTTGTCGCGCGAGGTGCCAAAAGCCGTCGCAGTGCCCTGAGTGAAATGTGGAAATGGCATGCTGCTGTTGGACTTCAATGAGCATAACTTTGGGTGGTCAAGCCCAAGGAACCAACCAATCAAACACAACAGGCACAACCAACCCCAACCACAAATCAGCCAACAAAGCTCATGGATATTGTCGGTTTGCTTTGCGAGCAGTAACTGGGGCTAATTGGGGTGAATTGGTATACGCGTCACTCCTTTGCTTGGAACCATTGAAGTGTTTAGGAATTCTTACTATGATTGAACAGCAGTGATTACACCTGTTTGGCTCAGAATTTCGTGTTCCCAAAGCACATCAGCACATACAGCTCTCGCATAGATTGGCCGTTGTCACCACTGTCATATTTGGGCTCAGACGGGCCTCGTGACCTTGGAAAATGGCGGGAAAACCACCAGATTGGGCGGGGTTGCCCAAGCGCTAGTATTCGACCGACTTGCGATGCAGCACGCTACGATAGATGCAATATCAAAACAAAACAAGTTCAAAGATAAATTCGGAATAACTTCTATACATATTTATATATATTAATATGTATATTGTATATAGACAACTACTCCCCATTCACCAATACTGTGGTGCATTTCAGACAGCAGTGATATGAATTGAATACTGTATTCGATATCATGGAAAAAAAAAGGGGTTTTCAAGGTCGTCGAGCCACGATTGTGTTTTGAACTCCCACGCTCGCATGGTCAGGGGTAGTCGGGTTTCATGTTCGAGTGGCTCCCTGGATGAATCATGGAAGTGGGAAATGGTCCCCTTGAATCATTACAGTGGTTTCAGAGTAGATGGCACAAACCCCTACATGTCTTTGAGATGAGGGTCCATATAAACCACCTCTTGGTGATTGTGCCATCTACTCTGAGCCCACTATAGTTGGATGACAATTTTCCTTTGCCAACAGGCGGCTTTCCACTTCCATTATTTCAGGGAGTGCCAGCCTCACGTGCATCATCTCACCAGCCGCTAGCGGGACATCGAAACTAAGCTTCGGACCATGGCCCGGTTTTACAGAACCATTTGGTGGTTAAACCATGCACGTTAAAACATCATTTCATCCTACTTCAAACAGTCAAAGTTCCCTTTCGTCATTATTTTGGTAGTCCTTCGTTTCTATGCATCAATTTCGAAATGCTGACTCATCAGTGGCCATGGGGGGAGAAAACTTAGAATATGAGTGGCGGCCTGATTCAGCATTCATAAGGAGGACGGACATCACAATTCCCAGAAACAAATATTTGAGGTGAGTCTAATTCAATTGATTCATTTAATGTTAGACATTCAATGTTGTAAAGAGCTGAGAAATTGTTTCATCTCAGGGAGGTCGCTAGCACTAGATACGGTAGCAAGGATTTGAGGGGGGACACTGAAGTTCTGTTTGAATAGGCTAGCACAACCTCTTGCGTGAGCAGAAGTTTGGGTTGGTTCTGAGAAACAAAGCTCATCACAGAATTTGCTAACAGCTAGCACTAGTGATGTTTGTAAAGCGTCAGGACATCTCACTATGCACTATATGCTCAAAAAACCTTGCAGAATAGTGTGTTGCAATTCACTCTAAGTTCGGGCCCTCCCGAGTTTGGCCGTCTTGAAACAAAAAAACGGCTGGAGTCCACAGCCTAAAGATCCAGTACAATCCGCTATTGCCGTGGACTGTTTGTTAGAACATGTGATGGCAATCACTCAGGCCTTCTCCCCGTCAAACTGCCACACTTTCTATACACAGAGACCATCCCATATTCTTAGACGTCTGGATGTTCCACTCAACGGTCCACCGAAACAACCGGCTCGTGCGAGCCAGGCCGCGGCGGCCTGTCTCGAAAACTTTCGTCAGTACCGGGAGATGGCCACACGGGAGGCCCACGGTTTCTCGAGCTCACGCTGCTCACGGTCCGTGGCCACAGTCGGAAAGTGGCCGGCAGCAGCACGGGAGTTTGTGTTCTTTTTTGGGGGGGGGCAAGGTTGAAGCTTTGCGTGCGAAGTTTTTTTTTAAAGAAATATTTTTGGTGAAGCAGACCATGAACCTTCCGTAGTTATCGTACTGACTGTAGTTATATAGATTTCAAGAGACCTGCTGGTTTTGTTTCTTCTTTGGAGGCTGGCGGGATGAGAGTGGCTCCGCATTGGAGTTACACCGGTGGTCACAGCGTCGCGGTGACAGGTGGAGCGAGTTCGAAGAAATCTCAATGGATTGTCTGATGATGACAAGGCTTCGCTGATCAGGACCCAGTGAGTGTCTCCGTGTCTCCCGCGGCGTTTCTTCGACGGACTCCATGCGTTCAACTGGGTTTGCAGAGGAAGCCAGTCACCGCTAGTCTTGCCAGGTGCCTATTTCAGGTTTTGTTTTAGAATGCTTTAGGCTTTACTGTAGGTCTTCGATAGAATGTCACAATTATATACATTCCTCAGCCTCACGTCCTACTTATATAGCTCGAAGGATTTGCTGGGGACTTTGGAGAGTTTTCACATGTTTATGCATGTTTGAAGAGCAGGTCTTACGGGAGATCCAATCAAACTTGACCACAACTGCCTCCCCAGCTGCTGATGTGAAGCTCGGCAAGCCACACGGCCCATGCCGAGTGAAAGCATGGTGGGGATGGACCACACATATCGAAGCCCAGTTGACCATCCCCTTTAACTCTGGGCAATGATCGGATATGATCGGTGGCATACGGTATGTGAGCAATTACTTATATTGTGCAAATGCCTAAAGTTATAAAGATCCTGACTCCAAGCTACTTTGGTGTCAAGACTATGAGGCATAGACCCCATCAGCTTCCTTTTCTTCAACAATTTTCATGTCAAATCTGGACGCCCGCCATCCAAGCTGCGCAGGAAGCCGGAGGAGCAGGTGAAGGCAATCGAGGAGGCACATCCTTGGATGGGCGAGGCGTTGGGCGCCTCGCATGGAGTGGAGATGTGACGTGGTCGAGGGACCCAACTTCTACCATGATTTGTGTGCTGTAGACGTGTGCAGGGAAGTCAGTCCAGGCGTTTGGCCGGCCTGCCATTGCCCAATGTTTGGGAAAGAGTTGTAGATGTTGTAGTCGATCCTTTGAATCAGACCGTCAACATCGGTCTCAGCGCGTGGTCAGCCCAGGGCGTGAGACTGATGTCAGCTGAGACCAGTGAATTCGTTGGAGACCAAACAGCAACGAAGCCCAAGAGGTTTTTGGCGTTTTGAGGATGGTGCCATGGTGCCATTTACTCTGACGATCCACTCACTGTTGGTCAGGACGATCTCGCCCTCCCACCATCCAGGGAAAATATCGCATATATTCTTCGGACGGGTGAGGCTGTGAAGGCTACGCTGACGTTGCTGGAGAAGCTGGAAGAGCTCATGAAGAAGGCGGCCGCGTGAACCCGCCTCAGCTCACCACACTCGATGGATCATCGGTGGAGAGGGAGAGCTGCTTGGAGTCCAAGCAGGGAGATGTGGTATCATGTTGGATAGTGTGGGAATCCAACCAGGAGATGCCGTTGGTCGTATATTAACGTTGTTTCATCTCGTTTCAAGGGCGTATATCTATAATATATAACATGATATAATTCATATTAGCTTTGGCCCTCTCTCTCTCTCTAGTAGTGCTCTAAATATTTTTATAAACAGATTTTGAAAACGACGTTACTATATTTGAATCCTATTGGACACATTGTTTCCCAGAGGGTACCCCCCCGTAGTTGCCTCAGGGTTGGGGCTGCCAACAAAGGGTAGACTATATAAAGGTACAATGTTGCCAGCTTCTGTGGCAGAGAAGGCGACAGAACTCACGGATTGATGCATTGAGTATTTGTGAAAACGCCAACTCTTGGTCATAGCTGCCTGACACTGTTTTGGACGCTCAAGCAAACGGTTGAAAAGCTTCTGAGTCCAAAGCACTTCCAGTGCCTGATTCTTCTATTCACTGGCCTATTTTTGAAACAAATAGCACACTCTTTCTAAATGATACACAGATTTGATACAATATCCATCTAAACTACTGTATTTATGTAGTATTATATTTACATTTCCAATGCTTATCCCCTTGCGCCCAACAAACAGGGCCAAACAACAACACCACTTAATCAAGGGCCAGCTGCTAGCCTGCTTAGATCAAAATGGTAGCAATGGGTTGCACGATGTGCCCCTAGTCGTGACTCCCACTGCATCTGGAACGCAAACCCCCTGCAGGAATCATAGGCGCACATGGAATAAATAGAACCATTGAACAGAGGATTAAGTTAGTGCTTTGGTTTGGTATCAAAGTGTCACTCAGACATCATCTACAAGACTTTGTCAGCCTTCCTCCTGCAAACGCCCCTACTCAGATTTGGCCTTTTTGGCACTGCTGGCAGAGCTGGGAGCTGGAGCAGGACCACTTGCTGAAGATGATGACCCCTCTCCCTGAGACTTTGTCTCTTCAAACCACTCCCAGAGCCATGCCACGCACGCTGCCCGAGCAGCCTCAGATGACATAGACGCCCTGCCAATCCCCGAGCTGTGAAAGTAAGACACTGACTTGGACTTCCGCATCAAATGCATTTGACCAGGTGGCAAAGTGGCAACCCATGCAGGCGAAGCATTCTTTGGAAAGATCTCGCGTAGACATGTCCCCTCTGGGATCT